TGACATTTTTATGTTTTATTTTATCTATTTTATTTTATTATTATTCTTAGAAAAAGAGTTTAAGAAAACACAAAATATTCTTCATCCTGAATGCTCCCACTGCAAATATCTTTGGCAAGACGTGGGCCACTGTCAAATATTTTTGTGAAAGAGTTTCACTATGAATGCTATAAATAGATGAAACTATAAATGTTTTCTTATCAATGATTTATTTTTCTAGCCGAGGGAAGTGTTAGTCACTTAGAGGCAATAAGTGAACATGCGCAGCGGCTTAGGGAATGGAAATGCTGCTTTAATGTCAGCCTCCCTTTTGCTAGCCAGTGAAACTCCGCAGTCCTTGATGATTCATTTTTTAATTATACATCAGATATGGTGCAATTTAAAAATGGCATTATGTCATACCCGGAGTATGAAATTTCTAGAAAAATCATTTCTCTCCAAATTCCTCGAAAAGACATTGTGCGTTACTGCCGTTGGTACACAATACTTTTCTGCTTTTTAGGGAAGCGACATTTTCTTGCTGCTTAATTTGGGGGGGGGGTTGTTTGCTGAAATACAAACAATGAACCAAGGGAAGGATCTGGAAAATGTTTTCTTATCAGATCTACGAAAGTCAAATGCTTAAAGAAATCTGTGCAATGGGATAAAGAATTGCAGAGAAATCAAATCCTACAACAACATTTGACTGAATGAAAACTTAAGACGGACGTAAACGAAGAAACACAAAGTTGGTTTATGTGATCAAGGTTAAAATAAGACCTTTTTTTCAATGTTCTAACCATTCTTTCTGGACTTTTGCTCACACCAGGATTGATATTTTAGAGATTTGCTTATAGATAAGGAATGGGATATGACAGTGGTTGCGAACCTATGGCACAGGTGCCAGAGGCGGCACGCAGAGCCCTCTCTGTGGGCACGTGCACCGTCTCCCCAATCCTAAGCCTTCAGCTGGGTTTTATAAAACCTTTTCGCTTAAGGCGTCCGCTGCTATGTGCAAAAAAAAAAAAAAAAAGTTCAATCAATCAGTCAATTTCAACTTCTCCCGGAAAAAAAAAAAGATCTTGCAAAGTTGGAATTGATTGATTGAACTTTTTCGTCCCACCCAGTCTGGCGTTACTACCGCAACCATGCCCACCCAATGGGCCATACCCACCCAATGGGCCACACCCGCCCGGCACTCAACGATGCATAAGTGGGTTTTGGGTTGCATTTTGGGCACTCAGTCTCTAAAAGGTTCGCCGTCAACTGGGATATGAGATGAAGAGATATTTAACCTCACAGAGGGTAAAGAATTATTAACTTGGTTTATAATTGTTGGGAAGGTTGGAAATCAATTCTTTATTCTCATTTCTTTTTCTTCTTTCTTTCCATTCTCTTCTTTTTCTCTAAGTTTAGTTTGTTATTCGTTCTTACTGTTCTAATTAAAATCTTAGTCAAATTATGTGATTAAGAAAAAGAAAGCAAAGCAAGTTACTGAAGGGATGAAAAGTAAGAGGGGCGAGGCTGGTGTGTGTTTTCCCTCCAGGCCACACAGGCTCCGTTGCTCCATTTAAGTTTTTAAGTCTTTCCATAAAATTCCTTGCTGGGAACCAGCCCTACTTCATTACAGCCCCCTCAAAAGAAATGTCGTTCTGCTTCTGGGCCAGAAGGGAATCTAGACCTGCCATCTCAGCATCTTCCAGGGGTTTTGCTCCACGGTAGTGGTTCTCAACCTTTTTAATGCCGCGACCCCAACCGGTCATAATTCGAGAACTACCCAACCGGTCGTAAGTCAAGGACTACCCAACCGGTCGTAAGTTGAGGACTTTCCCTGCCCGGGAGCGCCGTGCATGCGTGGTGCCGCCCCCTGCACTGGCCGAGGCGTAGCTGGCAAGCAGCAGAGACGGCGCAGGGTGACCACCGGCTGGGCCACCAGCTGGCCCAGCCCAAGGGAGGTAAGGCACCCGCCGGGCCCCACTGACCCCATGAGGTCAGTGCAGCGGGCCCATCACAATGCAATCATGAGCTACAGTAGTGGCCAAAATTGTGGAAACCTTTTGGGAAAAGTGTATTTTTGAGGTTTGATGGCTAATAATACCACTTTTGGGGGGAGTAATACCATAAAATTATATACTGTATATCAGTGGAAAGATAATTTAATCAAGAATGTAATGCAAGATAGTTTGTTCAATTATCTGTACTGTATTCTATGAAAAGTTATAGCCAAATAACCAGAAAAAGGAAGCACAACTTGCTCAGGTTGATCTCAGGGAGCTTTCCTTCATCTGATGGTAGCCAATGAGCACGAGTGTTTAGAGAGCCAATCGGGTATCATCTTGTTTTGGCCATGAGCCAATCGGATCACAGTAGGATTCAGTGATTGATGTCCTGTATTGAAGCTGAGAGGAAGACATTGGTCAGTGTGTTATGTGATCGCTATCTAGTTGGTTGGGGGGGGGTTGTCTTCTTTCATTGAGCGAGCTGTAAACGTAATAAAATTGAAGTCATGGTGCAAAGAGTTGACTGGTCGCCCAGAAAGTGATGTAAAATAATGTTATGAAGTGAACAAGGCTACAGTTATAAAGAAATGGGAAGAAAAACGGGTGGAAACTTAACCAAAGGTGGTGTTTCTACTGTACACTTTTCCCAAAAGGTTTCCACAATTTTGGCCACAGCCTGGCCACTCATCCCTCCTTCGGCTGCCTTCATTGGACTTTCTGTGAGCAAGGGAGCAGCCAGCAGGGCAGTGGGGAGTGCCAAGCACAGCTCTTGAGGGGAGAAAACAGACAAGCAACAGAGGAGACTTCCTGAGAGGATTGTACGCAGTGGTGGGATTCAAATAGGCGAACAACTGGTTCTCTGCGTGGATGCCGCTTCCGGAAGTCCATTCTGGGCCCGGGCAACAACAAAAAATTAGCTACCGGTTCTGCCGAAGTGATGCGAACCGGCTGAATCCCACCACTGGTTGTCCGGTGCTCAGCTGCAGGGTCCAGCAGTCAAAAATAAATCAGGCAGATGTTTGCCATCTGGGATGGTAACTGTTCCTTCTCCTGCCTTCCTTGCTCGCTCGCTCCTGCTCTGCCTCTCTTGCGTGCTGGACCCGTCCGCTCAGACGACCACCTCAGATTTCTGGCTGATGACAGTTCCTGAAGTAGAGGCTGTGGGTATGTCTGGAGCAGTGGTTCTCAACCTTTTTAATGCCGTGACCGCCAACTGGTCGTAAGTCGAGGACTACTCAACCGGACGTAAGTCGAGGACTACTCAACTGGTGCAGCACTGTTTGCAGAATGGGACTTTTGGCGGGCTCAGCAGGGCAGAGACAGCCTGAACAATTCCTATTGGCTTTTGAAAGCCAATAGAATTAGACTCTATTCAAGAGAGTCTATTCTATTGGCTTTCGAAAGCCAATAGAATAAAAGGGAGTAGCACAGCTAAGGAAAAGGGGGGGGAAAATGGAGGACTGCGTTGTTTGGCGACCCCCGTGAAATGGTCGTTCGACCCCAAATGGGGTCCCGACCCACAGGTTGAGAACCACTGGTCTGGAGGAAACAGGTGGGGAAAAAGCTGGCAATGGCTGTCTTTCCACACTCCCAGGAAACATCGGGATCAAATTAGCACCGCCTTGCTTCAGAGAGCTAATTAAAATGTAGAACGTCCTAAAACCTCTTGTGTGACAAATGTGAGATTAGAAACAATTAAAAGGCACTCAGGAGGCTTGTGGTGTTTAGATTCCTGACATCGTTACAGTCATCCCTAGAAGTAATGAAAACAAGGGTTACTCTCACAGACTCGAGTTGTCAATCACCCATTAACGATGGTTTCTCGTGCAGAAGGTTGTTGAAATTTCGAGGCTGAATTTATAGAGCTCATTTTCCATACCAAACAACTCCTTTCCTTTCCCCGTTGTTTTTTTTTTTCTCATCATCATCATCAAGAAATGCTTGTTGGCAGAAAAGGGAGTGACCTATATGTATACGTGAGTTTTCAAAAGATGACTCAGAATGGTTTGATTTTCTGTCAGTCTGGAGTTTCTGGGCACGGTAAATAAAAGCCCTGCATTAAACACCAATTTGGCAAAAGGATGGTTTCATTTGAACAGTTGAGAATACAGGAATCCTTCAATGGCTGTTGTCCTCTCCCTGCTTTTCTGCCAGCAGGCCTGACCACCTCTGGTGTCCTGTCGTCAAAGGAAATGGCCAGAAAAGAAAGTTACAGGTCACCACCGAATGGCCAGTCTAGTGAAAAGGACTAGGAGTGACATGGTATCACTGTTCCAATATTTGAAGGGCTGCCACAAAAAAAAAGAGGGGATCAGCCTATATTCCAAAGCACCAGAGGGCAGGACAAGAAACAATGGACGGAAACCAATCAAGGAGAGAAGCAAACTAGAACTAAGGAGAAATTTCCTAACAGTGAGGATAATTGACCAGTGAAACAGCTTTTGCCTTCAGAAGTTGGGGTGCTCCATCACTGAAGGCTCTTAAGAAGAGACTGGACAGCCACTTGTCTGGAATGGTATGGGTCTCCTGCTTCTTGTGCAGGGGGCTGGACTAGAAGACCTCCAAGGTCCCTTCCAACTCTTGTGTTCTTAAGTGCAGGCCCACAAGGAGTAGCCACGCATCTGCCGCTTCCTCCTAGCTCTGCAAAAGGCACTTTGTGGTTATCTTTAGCTCTTTCAAATGTAAACAGCACTAGATGAGCCAGGAGCAAATGTAATATAGGTCATTTCTCGCTAACAACTCCATCCAAGCCCCATTGTGCCAAAATAACAGCAATGCAGACAGGCTTCGTTTGATGGCTGTGATGCTGTGAAGGCACTCCAAGTCACGGCGGGGCGGGAGGAGGGGGCGGGTGGGGGGGGGAATGGCCACAGGAACATGTGACCTAGAAACAGCCCAACTTTTGGAGAGTTCTTTCAGGGAAGAGCTGCCGCTGCTCTGCTCGCAGCAGCTCGTGGAGGAGATTAATGGGATTGCCCTCGTGTCAGTAATTGGGCTGAACTGTCGCCTGTTTGTTTTCAGCTCCCAACCTCAAAGGACGACCACGGAAGAAAAAGTCCGGCCACCCGCAGAGAAGAGATTCGTTCAGCGGCAATAAAGATCCCCAGAATAATTGTGAAGGCAAAACTGTGGCCAAGGTAAGGAACTTTGTCGCCTTCCCCAAATTTCTTTTGCTCTTCTTTTCCAGGGCAGCCTTTCGGGAGGGGGGGGGAGGACAGGGGTCAGGGGAAGGAGCTGGGGCTGCTCCCCTCAAAGGGCACCCCTGAAGAATCAATCCTATGACGCAGGTTCTGGGGAGCAGAAACGGTCCCTTCTCCTTTGGATAACTTTCACAGCTTCTTTCGGAGGAGCCGTTGCAGCCAGTGGCTTTATCTGAAATCAGAGCTAAGCGGGTCCGACTGCTGAGTCGATGGGGCGAGATTCCAGGAGGTCCCATTATGGAAGTTAGAGGGGGAGGGGGACAAAGGGACCAGATGAAGGTGATGGGCAGGCTCCTACCCACCATTGCAAGGGTGGACTTGCCCAGGATTGAAGGATAGTTGGAATTGGGGAGGGCGGAGGAGTAATGGTGAACCAAAGGTGAGTCTGGTTCACTCCTTGGGCTAGTTGCAAGAGCAGTCACTGGAGACTAAAAACGAGACTGTGGCCAGAGAAGCACCATTCTAATTCAGTAAAACCCGTGGAAGGTCACCCCTGTTCCCGCTGCAGGGCGGCAGCATCCTCAGCCCACGAGTTTGGGTCTTTTCCATGTAAAACTGCTTCTGGGACAGACCCCTTCCCTCTCAGAAGACGGCTGTTTGTGCCCAATCATCGGCAACGAGAGGTTTCGGTCGGTGAGGTAAACTTAATTCACTTGGACCTTGGCTACTTTCAGAAGTTCCGAGCTGAAGTTTCAAGAAATGGCAGCGCCCCCTGAAGATTCTTCCCATGTTTTTCAGTAGGCCGGATTGTTTAAATCGTTCGGGAATCTTTAACGCCACAAATTAGATTGTTCTGATGGGGAGAGCAAAGGCCTCCCAAAGACGAGAGGCTTTTTCCACCCCTGCTTTGCGCTTTTTCATCTCCCGGCCATTGAAAAATGGGAAATGGCGAGTTCTCCGCAATAGGAAGTAGGAAACTCGGTCAAACTGCTTCTTGCAGTTCCCCCCAAAAAAGCCTCCTTTTCTGAGCCAAGCCTCTGTACTTGCAGGTGGAGGTCTTTTGAGAGAAGAATTCCCATTTGATTTTTTTTTTTTTTTAGCTGAATCGAGGCTCCAAGAAGTCAGGTAGTCCTCAACTTACAACAGTTGAATTTAGTGACCATTTGAAGTTACAACAGCGCTGAAAAAAGTAGGACCATTTTTCAGACTTGTGACCATTGCAGCATCCCCATGGTCAACGTGATTTACATTCAGATACTTGACTACTGACTCACATTTACAACGGTCGCAGTGTCCCAGGGTCATGGAATCCCTTTGTGCAATCTTCTGACAAGCAAAATCAACGGGAAAACCAGATCCACCTAACAACCGTGGTACTAATTTAACTGCATTAACAAATGTGGCAAGAAAAGTCACAAAACGGGGCAAGACTCGCTTCACAAATTTCTCACTTAAAAACATAAATTTCGGGTTCAGTTGTGGTCGTACGTTGAGAGGACTACCTGTATTACGTTTTTTGTGTGGTTTAAATTATTATGTCTGTCTGCTTCCTATTTCATGGATGCTAGCAATAGTTTTCACTCTTAACGTTAAACCACATAAGACTTATTAATTTTGAATTCACAGTTTAGTTGTGTGGCCTGTTATGTGCACAAGGGCTGTTAGTTTGTAAACAAGGTTGACAGGCATCCTGATGGTTCAGAGATACTGGTGAAAATGTGATGGTTGAGGTCTGAACTCCACAAAAATTATGGGACCTCCTCCAGCTGGCCAGAAGCTGCTCTTCCTTTGTGGCCCACTTTGCATAGATCGCGGTCTGCCTAGTCATGTATTGGTAGTAAACAGTGAGTCACCCTATAGGACAGACATGTCAAACACAAGGCCTGGGGGCCAGATGTGGCCCGCGAAGTGGTTTCATGTGACCCACGAAGCCATTCTGGAAACAGTGAGGGAACGGCCCCCGCTGCCTTGGCCCTGGCCCAGGCCAGCCGGGAGCCAATGTACAATTTTGTGGTGGCCATCTATGCTGAAATGCATTCAGTCTTAGCTCCACAAGGCCGTCAAGAAACAACGAGGAACCAGCCGCTGCCATGTTGGCCCCGCCCCGAGTGCATACTGGGGAGGTGTCTCCTTTTGTGAGGAATGAAGAAATGGACCATGCCTTGGCGCTTGCCCCGGTCCCACCCCCTTCTTCCAGAGACTCTCAGATCTGTCCCACTCCTGCCCAGGCCCACACAGGCACCCTTGACGCGAATGATGTAGAGCTGGCCATGCCCACCCAGTAGGCCACACCCACTCTGGCCATACCCACCCGGCCCCGTGAGGGCAACCGCAATGCTGATGCGGCCCTCAATGAAATTGAGTTTGACACCCCTGCTATAGAATTATATGCCCTTTGCAGGTTAGTAGCATGTCAGCGGATGAATTGGAAACAATTGGAGAACTGTAACTGTTTCATGCAGTCTTTTGTCTGCTTTTGCACATCCTTTCTCCTCTTTTGAGCCTGTCTGCAAAGGCTGTGTGCAAGACTGGAAATAAATACTGGTCAGGATGAAGAGTTGCTTTCTCGCTCCATCTCAGGTGGCTTCAGACATTTTTTTCAGAAGCCAATTAATAACTTTTGCTCGGAGATTTATTTTGGAGGGCTTCGGGCAAAACATGAAAATATACTTTTCCCAACCTGGTCAATGACGTAGTGGACCAGTTCAAACAAAATGAATAAACGATTTAGGCAATTCATTCACCTGCCTTATTTAGGAAGATTTCTGTTTGAAGGGATCATATGTATCCCATTCTAGATCAGTAATTTGGTCATAAAGGGGGTCCACAGCTAGAGGAAACAGCTTATCTGGATTCTTTTCTATCTGTCCAAGGTACAGCACCAAGTCTACATGTGGCTGCCTTTGGTGGGACCAAGGTGGGGGTGGGCAAGCCCCCAGTGTCACTGACTTTGAACAGCCCCCACTGTCCTATCCCTCTGGATCGTCTCCCAGGGTTGAGACCAAAGATGCTGTTTTTGCAGTTGTTCTTCTTCTACAGCAGGGGTAGTCAACCTTGGCTCTTTTATGACTTGTGGACTTCAACTCCCAGAATTCCTGAGCCAGCAGGGGTAGTCAAACTTGGCTCTTTTATGACTTGTGGACTTCAACTTCCAGAATTCCTGAGCCAGCAGGGGTAGTCAAACTTGGCTCTTTTATGACTCGTGAACTTCAACTCCCAGAATTCCTGAGCCAGCACAGCTGGCTCAGGAATTCTTGAAGTTGAAGTCCACGAGTCATAAAAGAGCCAAGGTTGACTACCCCTGTTCTATAAGGTCACTTCTGGTCATTGAGGGAGGAAATTGAGTTCTAGGCCTGCATGCTCCTCCATTCTGATTTAGTATCTACATGAAGCCATGGGGAGATCACCCATCAACACAGATCAGGCATCATCAGTAGCGTGATGATGCTCAGCCTTAAACCTCAACCCAATGTAGTTAAGAAGACCTTATATAATGTGCCAGTTATGACCCTTCCTGGACTAGGGGATTTTACTCACAGTCACTCATCCCTTGGTCACCTCTCACCTGGACTACTGCAATGTCTTCTTCATGCCCTTGCCCCCACGTGGAAGCCACGGGAGGTCCAGAATGTGATAGCTGAAATGGTTACGGACACACTTCTGTTCCCCATGCAATCGCTCTGCTTTGAGAGCTGTGTTGATGGCTGCTTGGCTTGTGGATGTAGTTCATGGTGGTTGCTTTCAAAATGCTGTTTGGCCACCTGTTCCCAGTTATATCTGCCTGTTCAGTAAAGATACAAGGAGTAGCTCTCTCCACACTGCTTCTCTCAGGCAAAGGCACCATCAGGTGCTGCTTGGCAGCCCCGTTCTCTACAACCTAAAGTTTAGGAAAACCAGGGAAACATGGCTGCCTCAGCAGGCCTCAGCAGTGGCCACATGATGAGGTTGCCCTCTCTTGCCGTCGGCGTAGGTTACGTTGATTATTATTGTGTTGTTTAATCTGACTTCTAGACTGCATAATCGGCTTACGGTTGGCAGCAGTTAAAACAGCATGTAAGTCCAACAAATAAACAACGTAACTGATGTATGTTCTGACCTTGGTCACCATTGTCATGAAGGATCTGTCCCAATACCAAATGCCCTCATTTATTAGTATTGCACAGGAGAGGCTACCTGTTAGATCCCATGTCCTCAGGATGCAGGGGAAGATGTCATGTATGTTCCTTTCTTGCTAACATGCTCCCACTCTTCTGAGAATTTGTTTTGCTCACAAAACCAAACCAACAAACTCTGGGCGTCTGAGACCCATTCTCAGCTGCAGTCGGGGCTACAGTACAAAACACGCAAGCCGTAGGACGACAGTAATGTGACTGGAGTTTCTTAAAAGAGGAAAGGATGAATGGCTGAATGTATTTCACGAGGAAAACGACTCCTCAGAATTTTATCACGGAATTTTGAAACGCTTCTTCTTTTTCATCTGTCCAAAAAAAAAATCTAATTAGGGTGTTAATTAATAGCACATATATCAACCGTCTAATGCTGAAAAGATGGATAGCAGTTTGCCCTTCCCAGTGCCCCCCTCCCTATGCATGGAGAGCTCCCCCCCCCCAATGCCTTGCTAAATCCAAAATAGACCACTCCCATGGATTGTTTGATTAATAGGAACGGTCAATTCATTTTGGCTCTGATTTTCTCTCTCAGCACGAGACGACGTGACTTTCCATTCAAGGGATGCAGTTGCTGGCCACAGATAGTTTGACACTGAGCGAAATTGGGAACCCAAGTTTCCCTTGGAGTAATCTAAGACCCAAGAGACTCCCCAAGTTTTAAAGAGCTTCTGCTGTATGGGCACATTCAGTTTTTCCCTTCAGCACAAATGCTGGAAATTTCCTCTTAAAAGGCCCACAAGCAAATCCATTTCCCAATGGCAGCTAATTTAAACTATACTTTGAGCCCACAATAAAATAAGATGGTCTCTCACCAGATTTTAACAGAACTAATTCATGCCTCACCACAAGACTTTTATACCAAATATTTTATTTATGGAAACACTACACTGGTCATGAACGTATGAAGAAAATGTTCCTGCTAAGTTATGCAGCCTTCAAAGGCTCCTCTTTTGTATAGGAGTGTGTGTGCTTTTTCTTATACTGAATCCATATTGTGTGCCTCTTCCCGCTCCTCTCTGACAAGATTTTTTTAATACCAATAAGGACCTAAAATAGTCGTTTATTTAAGATTGTGCTACATAATAAAGGCTTAATGTGCACTAGTTTGATTTAATGGAAATTTCTCGTATGAAAGAATTCATGGTATCCTGCCATTTATTCTTTCTTTCCTTCCTTCCTTCCTTCCTTCCTTCCTTCCTTCCTTCCTTCCTTCCTTCCTTCCTTCCTTCCTTCCTTCTTTCTTTCTTTCTTTCTTTCTTTCTTTCTTTTTTTCTTTCTTTCTCCATTTTATTTTTTGAGCACCCAAATCAATTGATATGCTTATCACTGGACAAGACATAGTCTTGCAAATATTCCTGGGATGTTCTATAGCCGAGAAGCATGTCTGACACCAAACTAGTTTTTTTTTAAATTCTCATATTGCCATAAATACTTTGCAAGTATAAATAAACTCAGGGCTCTTGTACTTCAGTCACACAGGGAAAAAAATTCTTACTTTCCAGCTTAGAAAGTGGAGGAGACCCGCAAGGCTGGTAATGGCTGTCTGATCCATTGAGATCCATGTGGTAGGCCTGTTCTCAACTTGGTCACCATTGTCATGAAGGATCTGGTCCAATACCAAATGCCCTCATTTATTAGTATTGCACAGGAGAGGCTACCTGTTAGATCCCATATCCTCAGGATGCAGGGGAAGATGTCATTCTTGACCATCCCCCTGATTTTTTTGTTTCTCAAGGCTGATGGGCTTATTGCCAACACCACCTTAATTTTTATGCTCCAGGAATCTTGAGTGGTCTTTCTTGATGTCCATTCTTTCAAGGCTTGTTGCTCTCTAATACCACCATTCAAAGTAATGTCCAAAAGGAGAGTGATGGCCTCAGGACTGCCCATTCACAGACCTCAGACTGCTTTGTGGTACCTTTGTGTGTCCCCCATAGAGCAGGGGTAGGCAACCTTGGCTCTTTTGTGACTCGTGGACTTCAACTCCCAGAATTCCTGAGCCAGCTATGCTGAGGGGAAAGGGAGAGATTTCCAAGCTGAGCCATGCTGGCTTAGGAATTCTGGGAGTTGAAGTCCACGAGTCATCAAAGAGCCAAGGTTGCCTACCCCTGCCATAGAGTTTCTGCCAGAGACTCCTACGCTGAGCCGTTAATAAAAAACTCCGACAGAGGCATATTCTTCTACTCTAGCTTTGGGGGCAGGTCATGGTGGTCCCTTTAAAGCAGGAGAGTGCCTCATGTTCCAGAGGACAGGCAACACAACAGAAAAGGTCCTACCAGGTGGTCTTAAGATCAAAGGCCTCAAACTTGAGTAGAGACAGCACCAGGGGACCAGGGCACTTCATAGAAGCAACAGTGCCTGTGCGTTCCCTGTAGCCACTTCTGGCTGGGCAGGTCCAGGACATTTTCCGCCTGGTAAGTGCTAAAGGTCTCAGAAGGCCAGGACTAACAAAGTATCTCCTGCAGAATCTTTTCTCTAGGTGTCCTACCTTCTCTTTCTCACTGAAATTCTTCACTGGGTGAAGAGCTTCCTTTCTGCCTGCCCAAAGGATGGAATTGGGGATGGCTCCCTCAGCTGAAAGGAACATGGAGGACAAAGAACTGTGAGAGGCAAGCAATGTGTGCATTGCTGGGAAGAGATCAACAGAGCCGAGGTGGCGCAGCAGTTAGAGTGCACTACTGCAGGCCACTTTAGCTGACTGCGTTCAGCAGGTCAGCGGTTCAAATCTCACCGGCTCAAGGTTGACTCAGCCTTCCATTCTTCCGGGGTAGGTAAAATGAGGACCCAGATTGTTGGGGGCAATGTAAATATATATATATACATTGCTTACTGGTGTACACCGCTTAGAGAGTGCTTGCACTTAAAGCGGTATATAAGTCTCGGAAATAAATAAATAAACCCCCCCAAACGAAGGCAGCGCCTAAGCACAAACACTCACCCAGAAATCTGTGTCTTGGCCATATATTCAAATGAGGTAAAAGAGTTTGCCTCCCCCCCCCAGCAGAGCTTCAAGGCCACCAAGCAGACTTAACGTGGCCTGCCTTTGCCCATCACACTTTGCATGCTTTGCAGATGGGACCAGGTGGAAGGAAGCAGAGAGCAACTTGAGCGCCAAGAAAAGTTCCAGCGTGAAGACACAACAATGCAATGATTCAGCCTTCTTGAGAAAGAGGAGCTGTGACGGGGTCAGGGGGGAACGAAAGTGAACCAAGCCAGTTTTGAAGACTTAAGTCTGCCATCTCCTCTTTTCTTCCAGGTAAAATGCGAGGCTAGATTACCTTTGTCCAAAACCAAAAATAATAACAGCAACTGTAAAAAGGGCTCCAATGAGAATAAATCCAAGATTTCGGTTCGTGAGGAATGCAGAGCAGATGAACAGGCCTTCCTCGTGGCACTTTATAAATACATGAAAGAAAGAAAAACGCCCATTGAACGAATACCCTACCTCGGTTTTAAGCAGAGTAAGTAGAATTTTCATTGCATATTTTTTTGTGTGTGTGTGCCGTTTAAAAGAATTTAGGCTTTGAATGTGATTGACTTGGCAAGAAGGGACAACATTAAAGGTGGTGGGACCCTAATTTTAATTTTGCATTCTATTGTTATTATCCAAGTCAGGTTGACCTCCCGAGAGGTATTTAGGCATACCAAATGTCTGCAGGGTTTTTGATTTTTCCTAACAACTTTGAGCAAGCTCTCCACATTTGGGGAATGCCCTGCTAATACTAAATCCTTGTCCTTCTGCAGGCAATCTGTGTACCTTGGGGGGTTCTAGGTTACATTAAGTGGGAATCCTGGCCTTGGGTTGTTTCCTAGATTGATTCCCTTTTCATTCCCTATTCCAGGGGTCTTCAAACTTGTCCCTTTTATGACTTGTGGACTTCAACTCCCAGAATTCCTCAGCCAGGCATGCTGGCTGAGGAATTCTGGGAGTTGAAGTCCACAAGTCATAAAAGGGCCAAGTTTGAAGATCCCTGCCCTATTCCATAAGGTCCTCCAGATCAACTGCTCCTAGAAATTTAGTCTGCAATCCTGTTCCACTCTCTTGGGAAGAAGTTGCTTTTTACTCTGCATATTAGCTTAACGAGACTGCATCATTCTGATTTTGAAATGCGTAGCCAAACCAGAAATAACTGTAAAATGCTTCTGTTATTTTCCTCTAAAAAAAAAAAAAACAGTGTAGGAGAAAAAAAAATACTTTAAATCAGTTGGTACCTATAATAGTTGCTTGAGTTAAAAATCACATTTACTTGCATCCTACCCAGTTTTTACAATTGGGGGGAGGGGAAGGATGTACAAGTCTGAGGAACATTTCAGCAAGACCGCTTGCTGTAAAGTAAATTTCAGACATGAAAATCACATTTAATCTAACTGAGTCTAACAGAACCCCACGCAAAGAACTGTTTTAATGGGGGACTTAACCACTATTTAAAAACAATCATTAAATTCTGTGCAAGTATCCCCTACAATGGATGGGATGATGTCATAAAGGATGTGTTCTGAGTCATCCATGTTTTACAAATCATTTTAAAGGAAGAGAGCCTTATTTGGAAATACTAGGGTGGTGGCACAATGGTTAGAACAGGACTTTTCAACCTTTTCACCCATTGTACCACTTTTAGGATATAGCAACATCCGCACCTAGTAAGGTGTCAAAAACTTGATGACCAAAAAAAAAAAGGAAAAAAGTGATAAAGTACAGGTAGTCCTCGACTTACAACAGTTCACTTAGTGACTGTTCGAAGTTACAATGGCACTGAAAAAAGTGCCCCCCAAGCCACAGCCAAGCAAGACACCTTCCTGCCCACCCAGCCACGCTCTTCCTCCTGTCCGAGGTTTTCATTGTTGTGAGCATTTCTGTTGAGGATTGGCAGCGGGCATGGAGTGGGGGGTGTTTGGTTTTTATTCCCCCCGTCTGCTGGGTGGTTGCAGCAGGTTTTGGTCACTTCACATGATCCTGGGACACTGTGACCATCATAAATATGAATCAGTTGCCAAGCATCTGAATGTAAATCACAAGACCCTGGAGATGCTGCAACATTCCAGTTGATCAGCGCTTCTTCTGGGCTCAGCAGAAGTGCCAGGATCAGTGCTGAGTTCCAGCTGGAGCCTGGCACTGATCCTGGCGCTTCCGCTGAGCCCTGACAGCCCTGCAGCTCCAGCCATCTCTCGCTAAGGCTTGTGCGGTGCTGCCACTGGTTTAGCTCATTCCCCTCCCCCGCTATCACTTTTCTGGGATGGTCGCGTACCACCTGCTAGGTGCCAATGTACCACAGGTGGTACCCGTACCACTGGTTGAAAAGCCCTGGGTTAGACCACAGTACTGCAGGCTACTTCTGCTGATTGCCAGCTGTCTGCGGTTCAGTTTTCAACTAGCTTAAGCTTGACTCAGCCTTCCATCCTTCCATGGGTCAAATGAGGATCCTTTATTGTTGGGGGGCAACAGACTGACTCTGTAAACCGCTTAGAGAGGGCTGTAAAGCACTGTTAAGTGGTATATAAGTGCTATTGCTATTGCCCATCCATCCATCCATGATGCACAGTGGTTAGAATGCAGTATTGCAGGCTAATTCTGCCCACTGCCAGGAGTTCAGTCCTGACCAGCTCAAGGTTAACTCAGCCTTCCATCCTTCCGAGGTGGGTCAAATGAGGACCCAGATTGTTGGGGGGCAACAGACTGACTCTGTAAACCGCTTAGAGAGGTCTGTAAAGCACTGTGAAGTGGTATATAACTCTAAGTGCTATTGCCATTACTATTGCTATCTGAACTTCCCCCCCCCTTATGTTGATGCAGAATGTCAGACTGGTAGGCTTTACATAACAATTTACATACCTAATAGCAACTGACACTAATTGCAACAGGCCTCCAGCAGCCATTAAAAGCTTACATAACTCCAAAATGATTTCAGTGTTTGCTTGAAAAACTAGCTGCACGAAATAGAAGCAGAATTAATGTACTATGAACAGCTTTGTTGCATTACCATTGGATTCCTATTAAATTAAGGCCTGAGCAAAGCTTCTGATAGCTGAGGAAAAAATGCAAGATTTAGCCATGCTTTTGATTCAGAATGTTTTGATTTGTCTGTGTGTTTGTGTGTGTGTGTGTGTGTGTGTGTGTGTGAGAGAGAGAGAGAGAGAGAGAGAGAGAGAGAGAGAGAGGAGAAAATTGCAATGCTTTCTCCCCAAGAAAATTGCAATGCTTTCTCCCCAGATATAACAGAATAATAGAATTGGAAGGGACCTTGGAGGTCTTCTAGTCCAACCCCCTGCGTAACTCCCTGCACAAGTCTGGATAAATGGCTGTCCAATCTCTTCTTAAAAGCCTCCACTTCTGAAGGCAAGCCATTCCACTGATTAATTGTCCTCACTGTCAGGAAGTTTCTCCTTAGTTTCAGGTTGCTTCTCTCCTTGATTAGTTTCCATCTGTTGCTTCTTGTCTTGCTTTCTGGTGCTTTGGAGAATAGCTTGACCCCCTCTTCTTTGGGGCAGCCTCTGAGATATTGGAACACTGCTATCATATCAGATATATCCTTAATAAATTTTAGGAAACAGGAATGCAGCTTAGAAAACTCTGGTTTTCTTAGAAACGGACTATTGGTAGTGCTCAGTTGCCCAGCACTGGGGCACAATCACCCTGGACATGCAGCGTCTTCTCTTTCAATAAAACCGAAGCCAGCTTTTCAAGTCCTCAACCAGCAGATAGCGGCCTCTTCAGTTCCACAAAATGGCATCCCTCTTCTGGCTGAATCTGATGGGAAGTGTAGTCCAGGAGACTGGCCAGGGGCGTTACAGGGAGGGTTCCAAAGAAGGAAGAAACCACTGAAGGGGGGGGTGTCAAATTATCTTCTGATGACTAGGACGGTGGTTGACTGCCATTTTCCAATCTGGACATGTGAAAAATCACCTGCTGAGTGTTTAGACAGTGAAACTACTTTGCTGGTAAATAACTCGAGCGTTATATGCTACCAGCCTCAGCAACGTGTTCTGCTGACCAGGGAAAGCCATTTTTTTAGCTAATATTTGTTTGCAGCCCGGAAAAAAAGCTCTTTCAGGGAATAGTATATAATTCACTTGACAAACAGAGACAGGCAACCTATGTTTATCCCATTGTTTAAAGCACACGTGACCAGAGGTTTTTGCAAAACAAGAACCTTTTTTTTAAATATTTGTCACTTCAACAAAAGTATATTAAACATGTATATTAAAAATAGGGCCTACTGGGAAATATACAGTCATATACAAATATACAGTCATCGCATCAAAGGATCCTTCTTTCTGCCTCTGATTCAGATCTCTGATTACTTGCAAATGAATCTAGAGAACAGAAGAACAGAATAACAAAGTTGAAAGCGACCTTGGTGTCTTGTAGTCCAACCTACTATTTCAGACATCCAATCTGTTCTTTAAAATCTCCAGTGTTGGAGTTCCCAGAACTTCTGGAAGCAACGCGTTCCACTGATTAATTAGATTAATAGAAAAAAAATTCAGAAAGAGTGAATTTGCATGTTTTCTTAGACATTTAAGAGATGATTAGTTTTGGCATTGCCACAATGGCCCAAATGGTAGATCGTGGTGAATTCTAAAACAATAATAACCATTGGCATTTAGATGCTGAAGGGCACCTATTCAGTGTAACCCCAGACTCACGCTGTCTAATGATGCTCAGATAGATACCTTTAATTTAGTACCTGCAGTAGGAACCAGTTGGTGCCCAGCCCTGTTCAGCTGAAGGGAGGAGAAAAGAAAAGAGAGAAAAGCATCCATGGTGGAAATACAAGGATGCCCTTTCTGGTGTCCTTGGAGGGACACTAAGATAGCTGTGAGATCCATCCTTGTCACCTTGGCTAGGAGTTCTTTTTATAGAACTTCTGCCGTTTCCAGGTCTTCCACACGGATTCCTTCAGCTTTTACTTCCATGGCTTCAATATCAAAAAGGTGGACACTGACAAGGGTTCGTTTTTCTCAAGAACTATTCCAAATGTGAAGGAAAACACCAAATTTGAAGCAAGTGCAGTCAACTATTGTTCCAACTGCCCCCCCCCCACAAACACACACACAAATTCCACTTGGCCTTTTGGAGTTGGCTGTGTTGAAGCCTCCTCTTGATTCAACCGGGATCAAGCAACCGGGATCAAGATGATTTTGGCTTTTTTTGAAAGGTTGCACAATTGAATGGGCTGGCTCAGTCCCTTTGCCTGAGAGAGGCCTGGCTTTTGTGAAAGCTTAGCGAGTGTTCCTCTAAGACAGGGGTAGGCCACCTTGGCTCTTTGATGACGTGTGGACTTCAACTCCCAGAATTCCTGAGCCAGCCATGCTGAGGGGGAAAGGGAGAGGTTTCCAAGCTGAGCCGTGCTGGCTCAGGAATTCTGGGAGTTGAAGTCCACGCGTCATCAAAGAGCCAAGGTGGCCTACCCTTGCTCTAAGACAGTGGTTCTCAACCTTTTTAATGCCGTGACCCCCAACCAGTCGTAAGTCGAGGACTACTCAACCGGTCGTAAGTCGAGGACTACTCAACTGGTGCAGCACCGTTTGCAGAATGGGACTTTTGGCGGGCTCAGCAGGGCAGAGACAGCCTGGACAATTCCTATTGGCTTTTGAAAGCCAATAGAATTAGACTCTATTCAAGAGAGTCTATTCTATTGGCTTTCAAAAGCCAATAGAATAAAAGGGAGTAGCACAGCTAAGGAAAAGGGGGAAAAATGGCGGACTGCGTTGTTTGGCGACCCCCATGAAATGGTCGTTCGACCCCAAATGGGGTCCCGACCCACAGGTTGAGAACCACTGCCCTAGAAGGCCTCTCTCCAGGGCCATCTGTCCCTTACCTGCCCCAGGTGCAGTGCTGGCAGGAGGAGCACATGGGTTGCTGGGTGGAAGAGGCTTCTGGATCCTGACCAAGGCTGTTCTCTGGCTTTGTATTTGCGCTCACAATTACTGCTTAGTTAGGCCACTTTAAGGAAATGCCCTGTTCTTAATCAATGCTTTCGATTTAGGAGCCCATTCAACAAAGCTTCCTTTGTTTAATGGGACAAGTACTGATTATTTCTTATCCTGGAGGAAGTAATTGTTTTCTAATACCTGTAACTGGATCTAAGTAGAATGTTCCCCTTGCGGTTTTTTTTTTTTTTTTAAAGAATGGCATATGTGCAAAGGGCAGAGTTTGCACTTTGAATTATGTAAATGTGTTTCCCAGACTGTTTCTCTGTTTTTGTCTCAACATGTGGATGTGATTATTGTTTTTCTTGCTTCATTGTCAAAGAAAGATTGTTTCATTTGCCTTTCTTGGACAGATGGTTAATGCAATGCTTATCTCAATGCTTATTGTCCCTCTAACAGTTAACCTTTGGACTATGTTTCAAGCTGCTCAAAAACTGGGAGGATATGAAACAGTAAGTGTTGAAGTGACTTCAGAGAGAGAAAAAAATTGTGCACCCTTAATCTTCTCATGTTTTTGCCATGTGTACATTAAATATACAAAAAAAAAATTTCCCAAAACCACAGTTCAGCAGAAAACACTTTGAATTTATGGGGTTCTCTTTTTTGGAAACAGTCTGAATTAATTCCAGGCTTGGCAAAACTGTAAACGTGTAGTTAAAAAAAAGAAAGAAAGAAAGAAAACCAAAAAAACCTAACTTGAGTGGAAAACATACGTAACTCTTCCTTGTCAAGGAAATTGTTTGGGTCTGTAATTTTTTCCTATGTTAAGAGAAGGATATTCTTCTGCAACCAGCCAAGATTGCGTAAAAGTACATTTGCCTTGGCACAGTCTCTGACATCTGCTCTTGTCAAATATGGGAAGTGTATTAAATACTTTAAAAAGCAATCAGCCATGTCCATTACAGTGTAGCATACTGCAGTGTCTGTTCTTGTTTTTGAATGGTAACAGCCTTTTTGCAAAAAAAAAAAAAAAAAGGTCAGGCCATGTAAACAGGAAGTTATCTAAAGTTCAAAATTACTGGAGTGGGAACACAGTGCACTGATCCTTTTTATCAACTAACAGTATCTGACACAGAGACTTTATTTTTAGCTTGTGGAGAAAACTGACATTGTGGCTTTTATAGCATGTATAATACTGGAGTCACAAAGTGTGATTAAGATCTTAAAAAGAGAAGAAAGAACTGCCTAATGCGAGGGAGAGAGATGGCATTTGTAACAAGATCCAGTTGACATAAAAGTTTCATCCCTGGAAATGTTTTCATTGCCTCGGATTAATCTGAGCGTTCTTGAGGCAGCTGGATTCAAAACACGCTCACCAGGCGTACCTGGATATATATATATATTAAAAAAAAACCCTAGTTTTGCCTTTGTTCAGAAAACATAACAGTTTGGCTGCCCTTACGTTAAATGAAATAACAGATAAAACTTGAAATGTATTTAAGCAAGAGAGCCAAATCACCCTGGAACTAGTAAAAAAAAAAAAAAGCATTGTTTCGTTTTAATAACTATGTGGCTAATGGATGTTGCGATGCTTTTGTTATTACAGGAAATAATGAACACACACAAGCAGTTTTTTTAGCTCGCCCTTTAATTGACATTTGTTCCTTTTGTTTTAGTCAACTTGTCTGGCTAAATCTGTTTTTATTTATTCAGGAGTCATCTCCATTAAATTTAGTGGGTCGTGTTTTGAAGAAAAATGGCAAGTTTAATACGGTTATTGCCGTGCTTGAAATATGAAACGAAAATACCGTGATTAACAAACACCCCTGTTCCAAAGCACGCGGCAAGAAGCTTGATTTTCACTGGGGGTGGTGCCTGAGTTACGACTCATGGCCAGCTTAAAAATTGATGTCCCTTTGAATGATCAAATCAAAAAGATTCCCACCATCCTGTCCCCAAAGGCTTCTGGGTCACAGAGACTGGAATGGATTCCCAAACAAGGAAAGTGGAAAATGGAAAGCGATCAGGAAGGATTCTAAACATAGCAGGCATTTTGCGTGCTTGAACTGAAATCTTAGCTTGGATTTCTGGCTCTGTTTAGCACAAATTGTGACAACATTTGAAGTTGCATTGAGCCTGTGGGCATTTGGGTACAGGAATCATAGTTTTTCCCCCTCAACCAGTAAAAGTGCAACGGAGATTAAATATTGGCAGGAATCCCAAATGAAGCCAGTAGAATCAGAGGAACGTTCCCGTTCTTGGTCTCTTTTGTCATCCTTTCAGTTTGTCACCTTCTCAATTGTTATACTTTTAAGGAACTCCATTCCTTATAGAGCCTTCAGCAGCGCTCCATCCACTTAACTCTTAGGAGGAAATTTGAATAGATTTTTCTGTTCCCGAAACTCGGTTTTAGGGTTGTTCTGATTTTAATAAGCATCTATTCCAATGCTGCAATGGCACATAACTTTTATTCACTGGAAGAAAAAAAAACAGAGAAAAAGAAAAGAAGAGAAAAGCTTTTGTTTGGAAAATGGAACCATTTGTTGGACCTGCTTTCCCCGGGCTTGGCTTTGAGCTAGTGCTTTACCGTCAGCGAGGAATCCGATGATGTCCTGAGGCTGGTTGATACCAGCTGTCTTTCATGTGGGAGGGGGGGTATTCTTACAGGTGAATATACCCAGTTATGAAGAGGTTTAGTTGAAAATGCATACCATTTAAAACTCCCCCAAGTGCTAGAGGTACATACAAGAAGAAAACCTGACCCATGGAGCTAGAGGGAAAGCTTGGTTCCTAGAAAATGTGGCTGAGGACACGGCTGCGGGAGTTCATGAAATAGCGGCCAAATTGGTTGGCATCTCCTCCTTGAGGCTGGCAGATGGGTGCAGAAGAGGCAGCAAAGCCAAAGGTCTGGAAAAGCTCCGTTGATATCAGTCAGTTTAGGACCGTGAAAGGGGACTGCTGGAGAAGGCTGCCCAAGTATAGAGCACAAGAGATTGCTGTTCCAGAACCTGAACTAAGATGCTTTTTAGGCAGGGTCAACTCAACGATAAAATGGTTTTGAAATAAATATTTATTCCCGGAATCCTTAACAGAACTTACAATTCTGAAGATGCTTCCAGATGCTGTACATTTGCCCATTTTATGTAGGTCGAAACAATCATTCCTCCACATCAGCTCTAGCGTGAATTAAGACGGTGTCTCTCCTCATGCATCCCCATGCTCATTTCAGACAAAAGGCATTTCTTCCAAACTGGCACATAGCCAGGATATCCTGTGATGAACTTAGTAGCCCCTCCCACTGACTTGTTAACATAGGATTCACTGAACAACTAAAACTACATTACCCATAAGCCATCTCTTAAGGAGACAGCGCTTAACCCTTTAAATGCTAAACATTCTAACATACAGTTCTCATAGCTAATATATGCACTGGCCAGATGATTACATAACCGGTCCAGCACAATTGCCGTTCAGACTTCCTCAGCAGCTGGAAATAAAACTGACGGAAATGGCAGCTGACTACAGAAGAGGCATCAGTAGTTGAAATCGCAAGGCTGGCATTAAGGAAAAGACAAGGGCGCTTCAAAAAGACGTTGACTTTTACGTTGTTGCTTCCACCAAGGACTTTGACTGTCCACCCCACAGCAAACTTGGGTCTCCTTTAAAAACTATTATCAGCAAGAAGAAGAGCGGGAAAGGTTGATGGGGCAACTGAACGGTTCAAGGTTGGGAAAGGAACGCACAAGATTTCATACCAATACTTTAACTTAAATGCAGAACAAACCACAAGAAGCGTTGAGTTAGAAAAAGCAGAAGTTCAGATGAAAGCTGCTGATGAAAACTAGGAAGGCTGAAAGTGAGAAAGATTTGGGGATCTTTTATTGAAAGTGAAAGGAGAGAATGCGAAATCCCATTCAACCGCTGTTCAACGTTTTTTAAAAAAATCAAAATTCAAAAGATTACGTTAGCAGAAAATGCCAACCCAAAGCAAACAGGGAGAGAAGAAGTTGAATAGTAGCAGACTTTTATTTGCCCTCCTAAGATAAAGTTTGCAGAGGAATGGCAGCTAGAGCCATGCAACCAAGAGACATTTGCTACTTGGAAGAGAGACTAGCAGAAATCTACCCAGAATGTTAAACTGTTGAGACATCACATGGACAACCAGGGTATGTATTGTCAAGCCCATGGCCTGCTCAGTTGTGACATACAGCTATGAAAGTTGGACCATCAGAAAGGCTAAGCAAAAAAAAAAGATGAATACTTTTGAATTTTGGTCCTGGAGAAAATTGTTGACAGAAGCTTGGACAGCCTGAAGAACCAATCAATCACTCAACACCAGATGAAGTCACATTGGGCTGCTCAGTAGAAGCACTAAGAATGTGGCTAAAACGGAGATATTTTAGTCACATAATGCAAAGGTGGGAGTCCCTGATTCTCTGATGCAATTGAAGACAATGAAAAAAGGTGGACAGAAGACCCTTTGGCCAGGTGCCATCACAGATAATGGCCCAAGGAGAACCTTTCAATCGGCGAAAGGATGTTTGTTGGATCATGAAGCATTAGAAGCAACTAAACGACAAGAAGGCAATAATACTTAAAGAGAAAAAAATAGGGAAGACACCATGGCTTTGAATTATGTGCATTTCAGAAACAGCGCGTAAGGAAGTTGTGACAGCCTGTTTTGCAAATACAAACGACCATGAAGTCCTATCGGCATCTTTAATTAAAGCCAAGTACAGTGTTTATATTGTCACAATGGAAATTGTCAGATCTTATGTTATATACTACGTGCCCACCAGCCGAAGGCAAATTTATGAGGTGTTCCAAAATTCCATGCATATTTAAAACAGGACAATTTCTACGTTGGGGATTAATCGTATATTTATTTTCAATTAATTCAATTTTGTACACGAAAAGAACTATCGAATAGGAGAGTTTCGTTTGCAAGGGATTTAAGCGAGAATCCCGTGTTCCAGGTGTCTCCGTTTGAAGGTGTATGGAACCTTCTCTAAAATATGGAATCCATTTTCTAGCAAGGATCATTTTGAGGAAGGGTATTCTAAAGACAAAAATGCAAACAGCCAGGGTTCGACAGGCAGCCTTCTTCAGACTTGGAATCTCAGTTTTCTCACCTCTATGATTTGGGGGTAAACATGCAAGACCTGGCACCCCAGAAATGATTTTTTTTTTTCCCCAAATATGTTACAACACGTGAGATGATTGTCTGCAATGCTCTGCCTGAGGACGGTATTGCCCACAAGTCATGGCTTATGGCTGCCTGCAGAAGTGAGAGCAAGCCTGTCGCTCCCCCTTCTCTTGCAAATCCTGCAGGAATTGGATGCTGGGCAGCACCCACAGTTCCTTTCTCTCAAGGAAACAGCTCCCTGCACGAATGGGATGAAAACAAAGCAGCCTCATCCACAGAATGAATGGGGAGCCCACTTCACTGAGGCCTGCAACAGGCCTGCACTGAGGCCTGTTGTTCATCACTGTCCCCTCTTTTCAAGGGGCCCCTGCCCCAGAAGCAGAAAGAGTCGTCCACCTCCCCACAACCTTTTGTGTTGGTGTACAAGGCCACCATCTCTGGAAGCACAAATCCTTCCCTCGCTTGCAGTCAGAGTCCAGTGGGCACAGAAGACCAGCTGCAAAGCCCAGAGGTTGTGTCTTGGCCTAGTCCTGGCAAAATATCCCCTAGGCATGTTTAGTGAGCCTTCATCCCCTCCAAGCCAGGCTAGGAAAAAAAAAGATATAGGTAAATATGTTGTTTGCCCACATACAAGCCTCAAATTATTATTATTATTATATTATTATTATTAAGTTGGAAGGGATCTTGGCAGTAGTAGTAGTAGTAGTAGTAGTAGTAGTAGTAGTAGTAGTAGTAGTGTAGTAGTAATAATAATAAAGTTGGAAGGGACTTTGGAGGTCATCTAGTCCAACCCCCTGCTCAGGCAGAAAACCCTATACCATTTCAGACAAATGGCTGTCCAGTCTCTTCTTAAAAACTTCCAGTGTTGGAGCATTCACAGCCCCTGGAGGCAGGTTGTTCCACTGGTTAATTGTTCTGACTGTCAGGAAGTTTCTCCTTAGTTCCAGGTTGCTTCTCTCCTTGATTAGTTTCCATCCGTTGATTCTTCTCACGGTTGAATAAAGAGGCATTTTGATTTAATCTCCATCCGAAAGAGGTAGTGATTATGACTAATGGGGGAAAAAAAACAAAGATAACATTGTTTGTCTGAAATTATAATATTACCAAGTAACATTTGTTTTGCTTCTGATGCTTGCTTTTTTGCAAAGGAGGCATTTTATCTTTATGCAGAACAGGAAAGGCACCATTTATTCCATGCCATACTAATTAATTCCCCCATTCATCTTCCTTTTTAGATTAAAATTACAACACCTCTCCCACTCACCCAATTTACTCTGCCAATTTAACAACTTTGGGTATTGGTTTCCTTTGGTTCTGATCTGATCAAGCTTTTTTCCCCTCCTGTCCTATTTTAACATAGTTTGGACTGTGTAAAATAACGAAGACCCCCGTTCAGTTCCTTTGCCACGTCTTCCATCTGTTTCTCTGTTAATCCTATTTCTTGCACAAAGATGGCACACATAAAAGTCGTAGCTTGCAATTTAACATGTTATCAGATCTTTGTTTTCTTTTATTTAGCCAATTGAAGGACATAGTTCAGATATTAATCTTAGAAAGTGTTTAGATTTCATTACCGTTTGATCTATGTATCTTACTAGCCCAGATGAGTGAAAAATAAACAGCTTGTATCAAGTTACACAAATTATATTTCTGGATGGATTTACTGGAGAACGTGATGGATTGAGGCTTCCATCCATAGTTCCTTGTCACTAACTCGATAAAGTAATTCTGTAATCATTATTTATGCTGAGTTTGGGATTCCTATTTATAATTTACCAAGAGCTTTCTCTGAAAGCATTTTAATGGTTAATGCTCTCAAGTGAGTGAATGCTTTCCCCCCCAAGAAATTGCATACACAAAATAGTCAGGCTGCTTACTAAAGAGGCAGAAACAAAATGCAATTCCAGAAAAAAAAAATAGAGGTAGGTGAAACAAATGTGCAAAATGTTGTGTACTGTAGGGATCCATATTAACCCATTCTGCACTGGCTTTATGGCTTGTGCTTCCTGCTGTCCCATATGGCTCACATGTACATTTGTTGCTACTCTCTCTCTCTCTCTCTCACACACACACACACACACACACACACACACACAGTATGTGAAGATGCTGGATTAAATTTTCCGTTGCCATTTTTGCAGATCACAGCCCGCCGACAATGGAAACATATTTATGACAAATTAGGTGGAAACCCCAGGAGCACCAGTGCAGCCACCTGCACACGGAGACATTATGAAAGGTAAGAGAGCCGTGATGAAATGCTTATCTAATAAAGAAGAACAATTCAGTGGGGGAGACTTCAAAGACTTTTGCAAGGAATTGGCTGGAGGGGGCCCCCGGACAGCTCCTTTCTCAAGTCCCTGGAAAGGCTTCATCGCCAGTTTAATCCTTTGATGGGCTTTGACTTCCACCCATGTTTGTTTCTTCTGTCAGAAAATGAAGGGCTGGCCTCTGATTTCTTTCATTTCTCCAAACCTTTTATTAGCTCGAAGCTCTAACAATTAAGCAAGATAATCAACAGGGCACCAATGGGGAATATTTTAAAGATCTGAATGGCTCTGGGTTGCCTTTTAAAAATAATTATGTGTGTCTGTGTATATGTGTGTATATATAATTATCTGTGTGTGTATGTGTGTGTATGTGTGTGTGTGTGTGCGTGTATAGTAATTTTTTTCTAGATAGATAGACAGATAGATATAAATATAGATATAGATATAGATATAGACAGTGCTTTTTTTCTTTTTTAAAAAAAGGTGCTGGAACTCACATACATCATACAACCTGCCTTGCCTACCCTACAAGGTTCCATCCAAAAAAGGTGCTGGAACTCAGTTCTGGGTGTTCTATGAGAAAAAAAAGCCCTGGATATAGATATAGAGATAGATAGATAGATAGATAGATAGATTGATAGATAGATAGATAGATAGATAGATATAAATGAAGCAACAATTAGCTTGTTTGTTCCGCTGGAGTGTGTGTGTGTGTGTGTGTGTGTGTGTGCGCACGCACATTGAGATTGATGGGACGGTTCCATATTCCTTTTTCTTTTTTTCCTTTGCAGCTAACATCCATTTATCTTTCGAAATGCGAAAGACTTGCAGTTTTATAAGCATTGATTTTATACCCTGAGTTAATAATACTTTCCAAAGCTGGCTCTCCAGCATACATCAGACAATGTGATATAGCTGTGCTGCTTTCTTAAAAGAATTTTTTTTAAAAAAAAAATACAGCCATTAATAAAATATGCCCCTTTCAATCTCTGAATGCGCAATGTGATCTCATGCTCCAGATCGCTAACCAGTGACTGGAGGGGCTGAGGCAGCTCGCGCTGAGCTCTCCACATGGGCCACGGGCCAGGTGGGAGAGCCTCTCCCCAAGTCTTGATCCGTTGGCCAGACGGGCGCAAGAGAGATGCTAGTCCTCATGGAGGGGGATGGTCACATTTTGGTAAAAAGCTGCTCTGCTTGGGAAAGAAAGGGCTGGGAGAGGGGCCTGCCCAGCATTAGCAGCACTAAGAAAGGGAGGCTGGGATATCTCTTCGTGACCTTTGAGTTTGGGGGATTTCGGGCCCTTCCTATCCGGGGCCAGCCTTGGACTGTCACCTCTGGGTGAAATTAGAGTTTTTCCTCCGACTGACTTCATGCAGTGAGTAAAGAAGCAGATGCCTCCATCCCATACAAGATTATGAAGTTCTAAACCAGTGGTTCTCAGCCTGTGGGTCGGCACCCCATTTGGGGTCGAACGACCATTTCACGGGGGTCGCCAAACAAGGCTGTCCGCCATTTTTCCCCCTTTTTCTTTGGCCATGCCCCTGGCACCCGGTGATGTATAAGTGGTTGGGGGTCACCACAACATGGGGAACTGTATTATGGGGTCGCGGCATTAGAAAGGTTGAGAACCACTGTTCTAAACTGATTGGCCAATAATTACTTGGACACACACACACACACACACACACACACACACACACACACCCGTCCAGCTAGACAGGGCTGACTCCAGTGAGGAGCTGGACAAGAAACCCCAGGATTGTCCAAAATTGTGAGAAAGGAGGAGGAATCGTGGCCTGTCCAGACTAAGACTCCCCCCTCTACCGCCTGTTTTCTCCAAATCTGCCTCTTCTTGTTTCCTCTTCTGCCACCTTTAGCCCTCAAATTATGTACACACACACACACACACACACACACACAAAGAAACACACACACACACACACAGCCTGTTTTGTGGAGGCAGCCCCAGATAGGCAGAAGAAGACGATGATTGAAACGCTTTTTTTGGCATGTTCCTGTTTTCATTGTTGTGGCTGGTTGCCAGTCAATATTTTCATTTTTAAAACCAGGCAGTTGCAGCGCTTGTGAGTTTCCTAAGTGTTGTTCCGGACATGCATCAGGGCCTTCCACGGGCCTTCTTAAAGGTGTGCAAGTGCAGGCTGCTCGGAGGAAACTTGGTGGACATTTCTGTGGAATCCTTTACTGTTCGCAAATGCGGAATTATGGCTGCAGCTCCAGCGGCAGTTGATTGTCTTCAGTCAGTGCAACCCCTTCACCAAAAGGTCTTTGCCAGTCCAGTTCAGCTTCCAGCCTCCCCGTCTCTGTCGGGTTTCAGCATCGTACTAGTTCTTGCCTGTAGTGCATTAATACTCTACAGTAGTGGCCAAAATTGTGGAAACCTTTTGGGGGAAAGTGTACAGTAGAAATGCCACTTTTGGTTAAGTTTCCACCCATTTTCTTCTAATTTCATTACAACTGTAGCCTCGTTCACTTCATAATACCATTTTACATCGCTTTCTGGGCAACTCTTTGCACCATGATTTTAATTTTTATTACATTTTACAAGCTCACTCAATGAAAGAACACAACAAAAACCCAACCAACTGGATAGCCATCACATAACACACTAACCAATGTCCTCCTCTCAGCTTCAATTCAGGACATCAGTCACTGAATCCTACTGTGATCGGATTGCCTCATTGCCAAAACAAGATGACACCCGATTGGCTCTCTAAACACTCGTGCTCATTGGCTACAATCGGATGAAGGAAAGCTCCCTGAGATCAATCTAAGCAAGTTGTGCTTCCTTTGTCCCGTTATTTGGCTATAACTTTTCATAAAATACAGTACAGACAATTGAACAAACTTCGTTGCATTCCATTTTTTTTCAATTGAAAAGTTTTATAAAAATTACGGTATACGCCCCAAAACCCACCCACCCTAAACCCACCCTCTCCCTCCCCCACTTCCCAGAGCTGAGTACAGGGTTACAAATATAATAATCAAACTCTAACTAACATTAACTAACTATATAAATAACCAAGTCCATAATGCGCTTTAACTCCCCTTTAACATAGGTATAAACAAATTAAAAATAAACATAATAATATAAACAAGTTGATATTATTAAACAATACTATATCCAAATTGTTAAACAATATTTACTAAAAATAATAATAAAACTAATAAAAATTCAACTATAATAAACTATTAATAATAATAATACTCTAAAATTTACTCATAAACTAAATTGAACTTTTTAGTCCCATATTTATTCTGAATATAATCTATCCATCTTCTCCAGACCGAAATGTATCTTTCTTGTGAATGATCCTTCAAGTAAGCAGAAATGTTTGCCATTTCTGCTAAATTTGACACTTTAAGCGTCCATTCTTCTATAGAAGGCAAACAATCCTTCTTCCAGTATTGCCCTACCAATTACCTTGCAGCTGTTATCAAATTCAACATCAAATTAATTTCTTTAGCATCGCAATCTACAATAACACCCAATAAAAATAATTGTGGAGTAAACTGCATTCCATTCTTGATTAAATTATCTTTCCATTGATATGTAATTTTATGGTTCTACTCCCCCCCCAAAAAAAGTGGTGTTATTAGCCATCAAACCTCAAAAATACACTTTCCCCAAAAGGTTTCCACAATTTTGGCCACTACTGTACGTAGATGCTTAAGTTACAGGTGATGACCCGGTATTATTAGGTAGAAAATGCCTTTTCCCCGGGTGGAGCTGTTGCTATGGTCCCGATTCCACAGACCCAAGGCACACAAGGCGCTATGTTGATTGTGCGGCTTTAATTCTCCTCCACTGGGATCACCCTTGGCCCAGCCAGAGGGCTGCCTGCTTTGGGGGGCAATAAAGCTGCTCTGGTGGGGTTCCCAGCGCATCCTGATGTGCCACCCTGCACAACTTCCGACCATCTTGGTTTATCCCTTGTTTAGCATTGACTAAAAACAGCTGCTAGTGCTTGGGTTATTCTTTGCAGCCTCGTATCTAAAAAGTGATATTAAATCAGATGTGATTCCTTCCAGAGCCTTTTTTTGACTCCTCTATGTGCAAAATACACGATGGCTGACTTTCATTTCCCTGAATAAACAGTGAGGTTTCCCCCCCCCCCCGAGAGCTAAAGAAAGCATAGAGTCACCCGATTATAAAGAAAACATTATTATTTGTTTGAGAGCTCAGTGTTTCTAAACAAAGTGTAATTAAGGAAAAGAAAAGCTGTATTTTAAAAGCTCTGAGCCCTTGTACAAATCGTCTCTGGGGGGGAGGGTTGTTCCCCTTCATAGAGTGGGAAGCAGATGGTTAAAATGTCTGGATAGGGACAAAAACCCAGGTCCACAACAGGAGTGTGTTGGTTCAAATAAGCACCCTCAGCAAGTGGGTAATTTCATTTTCTCAGTGCTGGCATAATTGCCCCGTCTTGCCTAAGGTCAGGGTTAGGCAACCTTGGCTCTTTTATGACTCGTGGACTTCAACTCCCAGAATTCCTGAGCCAGCCATTTCCTGCAACACTGGCTGCCACCCAACCCAGAAGCATAATAGAGTCTATTTGGTTGGCTTGAGTTCTTTTCTTCACTCTTTTTGCTTCAAAGATATCGGATAGTTGGGTTAGGGCAAGGGTAGACCACCTTGGCTCTTTTATGACTCGTGGACTTCAACTCCCAGAATTCCTGAGCCAGCCATGCTGAGGGGAAAGGGAGAGGTTTCCAAGCTGAGCCATGCTGGCTTAGGAATTCTGGGAGTTGAAGTCCACGAGTCATAAAAGAGCCAAGGTTGCCTACTTCTGATTATTGGTCAATCAATTTCTATAGCTACCAAACTCATCCATTAGACTAATTCATGTCTGTTTTGGTTTGTCCTTGCTATGACGTGTGTGTGTGTGTGTGTGTGTGTGTGTGTGTGTGTGTGTGTGTGTGTAGATATGCACCCCAAAGGATTTGCACTGAA